TGCTTTTTGACTTCTAATCAGTGACTGTTCTCTTACAGTTAAGCACTAGTTGAGTTTTCTAGCAATGTGTTTCATTTTGTTATTTACTCTGTCAGTAGCACACATGTTATACTAGAACACATGTTCTGACCTTTCAAGTGTCTGCTTCTTGAATTTAACATATACATCACTGTGTTTTTATTCAGTCACAAGTATAAATCATATTTTATACTTGAAAACTTTAAAAACTGCACCCTTTAATTCTGTCATTTTAAAACAATCATGAGACAGAAGAACTAATTGCCATATCTGTTAGGCATGTGGCTATGACAGCGGCAATTTCCCCCAAACTTGAAGGTATCACTTTGCCAAATGAAGCTGAAATATGAAAAATGATTCATCATCATACAGTAAAAGTATGTGTAAATGTTCAGCTATGAAGTATCTATGAATTTTCATACAGACCTGAATGAAAACTACTGGCTTAGAAAATACCATATTTGCAAAGCTGGCCTCACAGGATTATAAGGAAAACATTGTTAGTTTTATAAACTTTATCGATTTCTTTTTGGATGACTTGACCACCTCATGGCAACAAAACCCTGTCTGATGTTCAAGCCTTTTCAATACCCAGATAATTTCCTACAACTAACTCTTTTCACTTTACTCTTTACACTGAGCTAAGGATTCTGTCAATGGCTAAAAGTCAATCAGCTTAGTTAATTTGTAACCTATACTAGCTCTTTTAATTCCATAGACCATTGTATAGACTGTTTTAGTTTATCTTTCCATTTTTTCAGGTTGTTAGAGAGTCTTGTTTTCTTTAATACTTCAAATAAAATAGATCTGACCATCTGCATTATAAACTTGAAAATACCTTATTTTCTTGTTTGTTTTTATTTAAATGTTGGTTTGAATTAGTGTATATGAGAGCTTTTGTCTTCAGTACTAGGGCTGCCTCCCTTAGCTGTGTAGAAGAGGGAGCAATATCAAAGAGGGATTTAGCAATTCTCAGGGGCAGACCCATAGTCACAGACTATAAAGCTGTGTTCAAGGGTTAGGTCTGAACTAGAAGATGAGGGACAGACACAAGTGACTGGAGTCGGCAGCAAAGGAGAAATGGTAGGAAGAAAGCAACATGAAATAAGCAGAAGTCATGGATCTGCCAACTATTTAACCTCATTATAAACACTACATACTACTCCTAATGTTCCTAGAGTATGGGTCATTTTATTAAAAAAACAAACAAGGACTCGGCCATTATAGCAAAAGCGGACTGGGAAATATTGCAGGCCATTTAAAATAATTGTTGCAATAGCTGCGAATTTTATAAAATGCTCTGACCTCTCAAAATTGGCTTTTTATTAGTATTCTTTTATTTCATTGGCCTACTTATACTAAATAAGTTATACAATTAAATAAGCTTTTATCTTTATAAATTTTATATGCAACTTTCTTATAGACACAGAGGTTAGACGATAACATTGTCAGGCTGCCAGTGAACAGGAAGCACCAGAAAGATGATAGTTCTAAAAGAAGTGGAGAAAGTTCTTAATTCCATTCTTATCTTGATCTGTAACAAAATAGAGGAACTTTTAACATAATCTTTATTCCCAGGTCCATTGCATGATAACGACTTGGCTTTCTAGGGCATCTGCAGGTGACAACTCCTCCACTCCTCTGGCCTGCCCTCGGGCCTTGTAGTTCTTTCACCAAGGAGCAGAATTTGAATGTTTTGTTGTAAGACCTCCTCTACAAATTTAGCATTTCTATTTCTCTTTCTGTTGTCATATTGCTTTAAAACTATAATTTTTGTCCCCACAAACTTTCAATCCAGCACTATAAGTTTACTTGCTGATCCAAAGATGGATGTGAGAGATACCGGGCCATTTGGACTTCCTCCAATATCCTCACTTGGAATGAGAGAATGACATTGCTTCACCTTCAACACCTACTGAATGTTAACACCTTGGGTGTCAGAGCAAGTTAGAGGGTGTGAAGCATTGAAGCATTTGCACGTTTTTCCTATTTAATCCTCACCCCAGCCTGTGAGCTAAGCAAATCAGCAGGATGCTTTATCACAGAAAAATCTGGGGCTGGAGAAATAATCTCTGCACACTCTCCTAGTGGTAAGCCTGAATGTAGTCAAGCAGGTAGATCTATGTGCTGTTTCCAACTTTGAATGCCATGATCAGATTTTCATTTCAGTGGGTTACATAGGTTATACATCTGAAAAAAGCAAGTTTTGGAATAAAGAAATCATCTCCATAGAAAATTACTTTAAAACTTAGGGAAAAGGATGAGATTTGAAGTAGTATAGTGGTGATGGCATTGGAGAACAGGGCACAAACATGATTCTACTTGATTATAAAGGCGCTACTAAAATGAGCAATATGTAGGTAAAAGCTAATGCAGTTGGCAATTAGCCTTTATACATGAATGAGAAGTTCTGTGCATTACAAAATGTACTTACACTACTAACACAAAACACTAGAAAAAAACATGCAGAAGTGTACTTAATCAACATATATCTTTATTCATTATATTTATTATAAAAATTCATTGATAAAGCCAATTTGTAAAGAAGATTAAGAAAGAGGTTGGTCTTACTTTAGTCACAGTCACTCTCTGGCAGGATTTTACATCTTCTGTTTATAACTGTAGCATGTTAACTGGTTACCATCCTAGATGGAGACAGAACAGATAAAATTCCTATCATTCCTATTAGACAAGACCTGTTTCACCTACTTTTAGTGGCAGTTCCTCCCAACATTACTGATCTTTCCTTCTTTGAGCAGAAAATATGTTTCTATTTCTGTGACCAGCACTCAACTTTGCCCTAATCCAGTCTCCTTTCTAGGACACACTTTTATAATTTTGGCCCATTCTCTACTGGCAAAATCTGAACTTGTCTAAGCTATCATTCCCTCAATATACCTCATATCACTTCCACAGGAATCCATGTCTTGGTCTGAAACAGTCTACTTCGTGTCTCATTCTCTGTCCATACTGTTCTCCACTCTGTACAACACTCTCACCTACATTCGTTGTTTCCACCAAATAACTGCTAGGCTTTTCAAAGATTCTTCTGGCCACTATATCCTACAGTAGTCTAGACTAATGTTCATAAATCATTAAAAAACTGAATTTCTTATCTTTATGACATTCATTAAGGAAAATTTCAATTTCTTTTATATGAATATTCATAGGATGGTTTGTATTAATTATGCTTTGAATAATAAGACTATTTTTGCTTATAATTACCATATAATTGATATATCATTTCATAAAGTATGGCATAGCAAGTAGCTCTAAGTGAAACTAAGAGCTGTCATACAGACTTTTACTTGCCTGCCTGCTTTCCTTCCTTCCTCCTCTTTCTTGATTTCATTTGTCTTTCTTTTTGCTTTGTTTAAGTAATTGTCCTTACTGCTAGCCCAGATGAGACTTAGCTTAGTCAGGCTTAAATGATGCCAGTAGAAACATATCTCAACATGATAGCTCTGTATTAGCCTCCTAAGTTATTTTTCAATGTTGTGAAGAAGATAAATTATATGTAATTACTAAAGAAACTTTTTAAGTTCTAACAAACTAAAATTTTGAAAAACTAAAATTTCTGTAATAGCATCTTTAAACAAGACTAACTTGTGTCTTAGAATTTTCAAGTTGCTTTGGAATTTTAAAGCACTTGGTATAAGTATAGTTTTAGCCATCTTTAGTTTTGGATATTTAAATCAATTAAAATTGCATGTGATTGTATGTCTTTGTATTAAATTATGAATAGTATATATTCAATGGAAATAACAATAATAGATTTTCTCCCTACAGTATTAGCACAGGAAGCATGATGTGGATAAATAGATTACACTAGCTCTGCAATAACCAATCAGAAAGCTACTCCTCTTACTCTGGCACTTCAGTATGTAGCAGGTTGTTATCCTAGTGATGAATAGCCTCACAAAGCATAATAAAAGGAAAATATTTCCTTCTTATTTACTTAAAATTCATATTGGGGTTTCCAGAGAGAACTCTGAAAATAAAAAAAGATAGTAGTTTGTGGCTCAAAACAGCTTAAAAGCTTCTCAACCTCTAGGAATTGTCAACATGTACCACATTAACTGTTACATACAACTCATTCGCATGTGAGAGAAATGTCTAAGAGGAAAACTGGCCACAGAATACAAAATAAGCAAGTTATAGAAATTAAAGAATGAGTGTATATTTTCCATAACTGTATTCCCGATCTGTAAATGTAGTCTGTCTTCTATCGAAGAGCAAATTCAGTTTGGCTATTTTGCTATGAGGACATACATATTTATAAAACTTATTCAAAAATAAAAATAATTCTTTATAATTTAGTAACAAAGAGATAGATGGCAGTTATTACAGATACATTGAATAAAATCATTCATTACCTCTTTATATATGTAAAAGATTAAAAATACCCTTCAAAGTCTACAAAGAATTACATTGGGATCAAGTTCTTATTGACTATAAACAGAAGGAGAAAAATATTATAATTGTTCAAAACTAATCATATTAGGGTTTGCACAGAATACATTTAAAATTCAATTTTTTTCACATCTTCATAATAGTTGGAGTGGGCATGAGCCTATACCTGTGGGTCACATTTTCAACCTCAAAATCTCTATTATTTTTTATACAATCTGATAATGAAAGAATCATGTGTTTATTTTACATTCAACTCACAGAATATCTTTACTTGGATGCTTATGTTATTTTTAATGTTGATGTTATGCTTAATGTAAACAACACATCTTATATGTGGAACAAAATGCTGACCCGAAGCTGCATGTGGAGAAAATGGAAGCTGTGCACTGACTAGCAAAGTCAGCATAATCTGGGAAGAAAAATCGAAGTACAACAGAGGAAACATGCTTTAACCATTGTAGAGCATATGCTGGCAATAAAGGGAAATGATGAAATGTACAAAGTCAGACTGAGAGGAAAGCAAGTCGACCGAGTGCTGTGTAGATAAGGAAAATAAGCAGAATCTGAGGTGTGAGAATGCTTGTGTCTTTGGAATTTATTAATAACACCAGCCCATGATTTATTAGTCTGTTTTCCATAGGTAAAGTTATAGTTATAAATGACTTCAGAATCTCAGAAGTTTGCAGTGTCTATGGCATATTTCTTCCTTCATTGCTGTGGTCAGCTGTGCCCCTGTCCCATACATCTTCTCATTCTGGAACTGGGTGAAAGAACAGCACATATTTTATCATGTATCTTTTATACAAACAGAAAGAACCATAATGTACAAGTGCACATGATGGATTTCTCACAGCTTCTAGTCTGTTCTTTCTCAGTTGCTTTCACATTTCAATGCCAGCTCATGTCAGAATGCAAGGTGTGGCATCATAGAACTACAGGTCAGAAAGCCGTGGCATGAAGCATATAATACTTTCATTACGAAATAAGAAAGAAATAATGGATACAAATGATGCAATCTGCTCTGGACATGATTTTTCCAGGAGTGTTGTGTACTGTAGGCAAATCGTTAAGAGTTAGGCCACACCTAGGTCTAAAGTCAACCATTTGTAAATGATCAACAAAGTGTCATACTGAATTATTTGTCTTTTTCCTAGCTAAATTAACAGAAAAGTGCAAGATGCCCATTAAAGTAAACTTCTATATCTTCATAATTTTTATCATGAGTGTACAAATAAAGCATAACAATGTAAAGCTTAGGAGACAATCATTAGAAGTCTACCATTATGATTTCTTAAAAAAAAAGGGGGATATCATGATTATTAAAGATGCATATTGTTATTTCAGAGTAACTACTAAATTGAAAACATAAAGAAATGCAGCCTCTTTCCCAAGAACCATTAGATGTGATAAAATAAAATAAAGTTTATAAAATTATTAATTCATCAAAAAATAAATGAACAAATATTAAAGCACAAAACGAGAAAGAGGGATACAGCATCATGATGGAAAATATGAACCAAATGTAGGCTTGGTTCAAAACCAAATATACTAGTCATTAAGCTAGAATAAGTGTCTGAAAACTCAAGTTTATATAAATTATTCAAACTATTTTTTAAATGACTCAAACATATGTTGTTTACAAGAAATACCTTTTAATAATCTTTATGAAAAATTAAAATCAGTTCTTAAAGAAAGACTTGTAAACACAAAGAAAGATTAGTTATATATAATTTGAAACAAAGCAAAAGGAATAATAGAAAAGTCCAATGACTCATTTTTGGAGAGTCTTACTACATCCCAGAGACATTTCAGAAGATTAGTCAAAACACAAAGATCAAGAAGCAACCTTACAGTCACCAATATGGATTTCAGTGTTCTTTTCTCAAAATCACCACATTTATACAGACACTTATCACTATTGGTCATGAACTACTTAACATCAATAAGAAATTATTCCCCACAAGAGCAACATACATTTTCTACAAAGCAAGTTGTAATTTCTAAGATGCTATATAGACCTTGTCTTGAGCCATAAAACAATATTTAATAAATTTGAAAATATTAAATAATATTTCTAATGATGACAAAGTAAAGTATTGAATTAATAAACCAAAAATAAAACAATAAAACTTTAAAGTGATTAAATATTTGAATGTTAAGAAACAAAATAGTAAGTACTCCATGAGTTAGAGAAGAAACTTCAAAGGATGTATAACAGTACATATTTCAAGGGAATTACAAAGATATCAGGATGCATAGAGTACAGCTAATGCAACTTTTTTTGGGAAATTAGCCTTAAATACTTCTATTAGAAAATAAGATGTTAATAAATTTGAAACATAATGAACTAAATCCTAAGAATGTAGCACCAAGGAAAGAATAAAAGTAAAAGCATAACTCTTTAAATTGGGAAAATTAAGTACTATCACGCAAAAAAAGTCTAATTTATAATAGAAGAAGTCATTCTAGCATATCTGTACGGAGAATAGCAAGCAGTAGATAAAGGGGTCCTCTTCCTACACATCTGTCCATTTTTAATGTGTACTATGAGCACTCCCTAAACCAAGTAGGCAGAACACAAGAAAAAAAATTAGAGTTGAGGGGATGGAGAGATGGCTCAGAGGTTAAAAACACTGATTGCTCTTCCAGAGGTACTGAATTCAATTCCCAGCAACCACATGGTGGCTCACAATCATCTGTAATGGGCTCTTCTGGTGTGTCTGAAGACAGCTATGTTGTACCCATATGGATAAAATAAATAATTCCTTACAAAAAAATTAGAGTTACGATAAAGCATAACAGGTACAAAAAGTAGAAAATGAAATCCAGTAACATATTAAGAAGTTAATATACTAAATCAGGCTTGATTTTCCCCAAGAGTGTAAGGTTAGTTTAAAATGTGAAAATTAATGCATCTTATCACATTTACAGATCAAGAGAAAAATCACACTTAGGGGGAGAAAGATTCTCAGTCTTCACATGAAACACAAAACTCAATTTGAGGTAGATCACAAACCTAAGCTTAAAACTAAACCTTAACATTTATAAAAGCAGAGTGGCATAACCTTTGAGTAGAAGTCTTTCTAAACATGACATAAAAATAAAAGTCATGAAAGGAAAATGTTGGCTTCATCTAAATCTGCTCACGGTTAAGGAAATAGTCTGAGGGAAAAATTACAAGGTATATCTGAGCAAAAGTTCATATCCAAAATATATTAACACATCCCCAAATTTGAGAATAAGAGCAAAGCACCATCAGCCACAATATTTTACTTTGTGACAGTAAAACTGCTACAGTGAAATAGTTCAAAAGAATGAAAAACATATGTGTAAAGTGCTGTTCATAGAAATGCTGGAGGGCTGAGGACATGGCTCAGCAAATGACATGTACTTCTGGGCAAGCACGAGGACCTGAGTTTTAATACCCAGAACCTACATGGCAGCACAACTGTCTGTGTCACAGTGCTTCTGTGGGGAGATGAAAAGTGGAGAGAGAAGAATTCCTGGATGCTCATCAGCCAGCAATTCTAGACCAAACAACAGAAACAACAACAACAACAAAAACCACAAAGGAATCCTGGCTAAAAGTAGAAGGCAAAGACCAAAACCTCAGATTCTTTGACGACTTGCACAGACAGCTGTGGTACAATACATACCTGCATTCACACACAGAGGTATGCACATAAGCAAACATGATGTAGAAACACAAATAATAGTTAAAACTAGTTATATATGCTTTGTTCAATAAAGACAAAATTATAATTTTTATCTTTTTTCTCTCTACTATTCTATCTTCCTCCCAATGTACCCCAATATATGTGTGTATTTGTAGATCAAACTCAAAGATACATGCATACTAATCATATAGTCTACCACTGAGCTCTAGAGCTACACTGATGTCCAGTAATACACTGTCCACCAACACATAGCTCCAAGTGTCCAGCTCTCCTCCAACAGGAGAATGGACAGATAAGCTGTCACATAGTATTTCAAGTAATATTAAGCTTCTAAGAATGAGTATTCCTGATACACTGCAAGTACCTGACTCTGAAAATTATGACTGAAATATCAACCTAGAGATGGTATATTGTCTGTTTTGATTAACATCACATTCTGGAACAGTTAAAATTAGACTGCAGTGACAAAGAACAGATATACCACCTTCCTACATACAAACAGGGTAGTGACAGGAAATACGGGCACAGGGGAAGAAAAATAAGGAAACTTACTAAGATAGTAGTACATGGTTCACTATGTCTCCATATTATTCTTTAAACTCAAAAAGTTGCCTTGAGGTCTGAGTGTGTGGCTAAATGTCAATTTCTGCTAGGTTCTCAACAAAATGAACATTGAAAAACTGTTCGACTATTCCCTCCTCCAGGTTAAGAGCATTACAAGTGGATGCATGACAGCAAAGTAAGCAGAGAACAGGGCTCTGGATCAATGTCAGTGCATAGAACCAGTGAAAATACGTGCTTGGAACCAGAATACAGGGGAGATGAAGGAACGGAACTTCCCTTAGAAAAAGCTACAGGGGCAGGGAGATTAGAAGGGGTAGGTCCAATCAGATCTTATACTTCTCTATTTCCAAACTTCCTTAAATGGAATATGTAGGTTTCCAGACTAGAATAGTGTATCAAATGCCCGGTGTCTTCAGGAGCTAAACCTCTCTTGTCCCTTGATTTCCCTTCAACCACTTGTAAAAATCAAATTCTATTAAGTAAAATGACGTAATTATTCTACTTGACAGCTCAAAATGAAGAGCTTAAAATGTAAATGCACAGTGAAGATTAGACTTTGGGAAAAATGGGTTTGTTCCCATGTAGTCAGTATACGGATACAAATAATTAAGTACTTATCCTTTCCTTTGTTCCCATGTAGTCATTATATAGATACAAATAATTAAATACTTATCCTTTCCATACTGTTTCTGGTAATGTAGGAAGAAGGCAAAAAAGAAATAGTTCTGTGTAGTGCACATTTACTGAGCTTATAACAGGTGCTAAATCAGTGGTTTGTCAACTTGTATGTCTGTGACCTTTATTAAAAATTACAGTTCACATCTCAGCCTCTATGTAAGTACATATGTATGAGCAGAACATTGTTATATAATACAGCTTATTCTTGCTAAGTAAGACATACTGATGTTCTCTGGTCTAGTGTAGACTATTACAATAGCTACAGAAATGTTGGTTCTGGTTCACTTACTTTCACTGCCCACTAATAGGTTGTGCGTTGTGGTTTGAAATGATGCATGGTGCTGCTCTTTCTCCTCAAAGTGTGGTCTGTGGAACAGCTTCCCCAGCATCATGGCCTGAAAGAAATGAAGAGCATGAGGCCGCTCTTCATACCTATTGAATAAGACTCTGCATTTTAACAGCACCTCTAGATGCCCTGTGCATTCCTGGTGCCAGATGATGAAGGTGCTTGAGGCTGCCAATATCTTCTGGGTGTTGTGTCAGATAGAATCTAACTCAGTGGTCCGGCTTTAGGGCTTTGTTTTTGTTGTTTAACAGTTAGAAAAGAAATATTTTCTTTTAGTTTTCTTGTGGATGACTTTATGTATTTGCATTTTATTTGCCATGCATTTAGTGATAGGCCACTGCTATGTCTTACTCTCAATTACTCCTCCTTGTGAGAAAAATGCCAGACATGGCTTTTTTACCCAACATCCCCTTTTCATGGGATGTCATGGGTATGTCTTCAGGTAAGAGTGCCATGGCCAGTCTTGCTGAGCTACGAAAATTTGCCCCTCCATTTCTTCCAGTAGGTACCTAAGCCAGGATCTCAGCTGGTGAAGACCATAGTCCTGCTCCTAAGTGTTTTCTCCCATCATTAGGCACCTTCCCTTCACTGTGTTTCCTGAGTGGTGGGAAGCTGTAGCCTGGGAGTTGCTAATCCCGCTAACACTAAAGGGTTCACTCCCGTTAGCAGCTTCTCTGTTGCATTAATAATAAGAAAGTAATAAAGATGCCAGCCTCAGCTCTCACTCTCCCCTGAGGTAAAGGCCTCAGCTTCCCGCCAATTCCCATGGTCCACTCTAATGGTCTTGCTGTGCTAAAGTGGTAGGATAGATTGATGTAACTATTGTCTCTTTTATCAAAGTTAAAATTCTTCTTCCCCAGAAGCTCAGAGGGCAGTTTTACCCTAAACCACATAGTTTAAAAGCAATAGCATCAATACTTTTGCCATGAAAGTGAGCCAGTTAATTCATAACTAAACACATGTTAAGATTACTTGGCACAGTGAAAATAGAAAGATAACTTTGGGACATAGCAACTAGCACAAGAAAAACTCTATTATCCTAGAAAGAGTCCATTCCCAGATGCCTTGACAGAGCCATAAAATAGAAGTCTCCCACAGGAAGCTAAGCCCTTTGTGTGTGATTATTCATGAAATAATTTCTCTTCATAGCAATAAACTAAAATCAAGATAGTTACTTTTGTAAATACTAAAAAAAATATTAACAAAGAGGAAGTGAAGAGAAAATGAGGAGAAATGATAGTATAGCAAAAGAAGTTTGGACAGAAGGGACCAAGAGTGTTAGTCAAATATTTCTTCATAAAATGTTCTTGAGATCTGTGGAGGAGTTATGCCACCTTTCTGTTGAAATTATGTAATCTCTGGCAGATGGGCTCTTTAAAAATCATTTGGTGTCTGGATACTATGGGAAAGTGTATATTCTGTCCATGAAAACTGATTGTATTTGCAGTAGTCAGATTTTTGTATTGTTTCATTTTTAAGTAAAGCTGTTTTTTCTTTCAACTTTCCAGCTCTTGATGAGTACATAGTAGTCCATTACTGCAGAGATGTTACTCAGCTTTGCAGTCAAATCAGTAGAATGGTTTCTCTTTCTTTCTTACATGATTTTATGCTGATCTTGTGATCTTGCTAATTTGTGATTTGTTTGCATTTTGCCAATTTTGAATTTATACTGTCAAGCAAAAGAACCAAATCAATCATAGCTACCTTAATATTTTTAAATACAATTATTGTTCATAAATCAAGATAACAATGTAAAAATAAAAGTTGTGGCTGGAGAGTGGGATCAATAGTTAAGAGTCCTTTCTGTTTCCTCAGGAGATTGAATTCAATTTCCAGCATTTCCATCTTGTGACTTACTCATAACTCTAGCTCTAGGAGATCTGATACCCTCTTCTGGTTGCTACAAGCACTCCAAATCACTGCAGTATGTACATGTAAATGCATGCATGTATATACACACACATACAAAATAAGACTTAAATTAGAAATTATTTTCTAAATACATATAATCAACATGATTTCTTTGTAAGTACATAACAGGTAAAGGGAGAAACAAAAATCATTGAATATGATTATTCATCTAATATTTTAAAGATTGCAATCCTTTGAATGAAAACGTGAACTTTAGGATTAAGAAAAGTCAAAATAACCACACCGTAGTGACTCCTTTAATCCCAGCACTCATGAGGCAGAGGCAGGTGGATCTCTGAGGTTGCACCCCATCTAGTATCCAGAGTAGTTCTTGGACAGCCAGGACTGTTGAGAGAAACCATGTCTTCAAAAACCAAAACCAGGAAAAAAAAAACCCTGCAAAATACTTTTCATGAATATTTAGAGACCAGTGTAAATCCCTGTTAATGAAACAACTCTTATATTTATTAGCCAAGCAATTTCTTTTTTTTAATAATTTATTTTTTCTCAAATCATAATTCATTCACACAGGGGTTATAAACACAGAACGGCAGGATGTGGGGAAGGGATTGACACTGGAATGTGGGTGTTCAGGGGGAATACAGATATCTTCAGAACAGGGTATCAGCTGGGTGAAGGTTCAGGGGACAAGTCACTGTGATTCTGCCTATGACTCGCTTGTCCTTATCTAAGTTAGTATTGTCTGCCAAGGCTACCTATTTACAAGGTCTATGACTACTCAGGCTTGTATATTTCCACAAAAGCTGCCTGTTTACATTAACTTATAGCCATCTGTTTCAATGTTTTTCCACTGAGACCCAAGACTTGGTGTTAGTATACATGTATGACAGGCCTATTGCTGATTTTAGGCCTAAGCCAAGCAATTTCCAAAACCACTATATGCATTCTTATTTGTGGTTGTGCCACATATAAAAGGGGAGAAGCATTCACTCTGTTCCCATGAGTACCACAGTTGTGTCCGTGTGTCTCTAAAACTGTGGAAGAATGGAGAGAAATGTGCCAACATTTTCAGGGAGTCCAGTAACAAGCCACTCCATCTGGAAGCAGCAACTGTGACAGGGAATTCTCCCAGCATTGTTGTTACTGTATGTACCTATCTGCATGCCCTTCATGTATGATTTCTGTCCCACAGTCCACGAAGGCTCTGGAGAGACCAGTCAGAAGGAGACATCCACCTGTGACATTTGCCAGTTTGGCGCGGAGTGTGATGAAGATGCTGAGGATGTCTGGTAAGAGGCTCCTTTGGTTTCTCAAAAGAATGTCAGCGATTAAGGGTATTATTATTATTATTATTATTATTCATTAGCTACTCTTTCAAATGTCATGCTGTCAAAAATTTCTATTTTCTTCTGACTTCCCAAGGTAGTAAGAAGTAAGAGCTATAGTTTCTGGAGCCAGGTTGTAAGATAGGTCAGGCAAGCAGATGCTTGCATAACAGAACTATCAGTGAGGACCCCAAATGGTTAGTCTTACTGAACAGCAAGGGAAATCATATTTATAAGAATGTCTCTTTTAAAAATTCCATTAAAAAACCACAGATGACTTCTATGTTTCTTTAGGTTGGAATAACAAAAATACTACATAGTGGGTATCTGAAAATAGCAGAAATTTACGTCAAGCCCTCTTGAGCCTAGGAAATCCAATATCCACTCTGGAGGAGACTTAGCATCTGCTGATGGTCTACCTCCTAAAGACAGTACTTGCCTCAAAAGGGTGAGATACAAGGAGCAGTGGACCTCTATAGTCTTCTTTTATAGAAGGATTAAATAATTAGTAAGTAAATAAGCAATAATACTTCAGTATACATGAAATAGTCACCTTCCCCAAACCATCTCACTAATACAATTCAATGGGCAGAATTTAAACATACATATTAAGAGTGTTCAAACCACAGCAATTGCTAACATGAATTCTAGGATTATGAGTCTGAAAAACTGTAGATTTAAAAGAGGACTCATGTGCATACACACTAACAAGCTGAAAAGACACTTCAGCCAAAACAAAAACTATAACAAACAAACAAACAAACAAACAAAAAACAAAACACCTCTAGGGTGCCCTCCTGCATCAGGTTTTCCTTTCCTCTACAAAATATTCCATTTCTCTTATAAAGTTAGCTGAACAAGTGAAAATTTTGCATTATTTTGTATAGGTGTCAAATATTTAGCTTTCTATACCATCTGCATGTATGGGTCCTGGTCTGATCATTTAACGAAGTTCATAGAGCTAGGCCACAGACAATTGGAGTGTCTGGATAGTGAAGAAGCATTCAGTCTTTTCCTTTACTTCTCTTCTCAACCTAACCATTACCACCACCTCCATCCTCCTCCTCCATCTCCCTCCTCCTCCTCCTCCTTCTTTTCTTCCTCCTCTTCTTCTCTTCCTCCTCCTCCTCTCCCGCCTCGTCTTTCTTCTTTCTCTCCCTCTATCTTTGTCCATGTCTCTCTCCATCCACCTCACTCCCTCTTTTCTCTCCTTTTCTTTCCCTCTTCTCAACTTTTTTACTGTCTCCCTCTCTTTCTCTGTCCCTGTATCTTCCTCTTCTGTCTCCTTCCTTCTCTCTCTCCTTCTCTCCCCTTTCCATCTTGCTCCATCCCTTCTTTCTTTCTCTCTTACATATCTTTGATGAAAACAGAAAACCATTCTATTCTTCCATATGATAACTGTTTACCAAGAGCTACTAATAGTCATTTTGATAAGCTTCTGAGAGTAGAAAGAATCTCTTTAAAGAAAAACAACACTTTTTAAGTAAAAGGGAAAATGATACATTGGCCTAAGTGAAACACAAGGCATTCATGAGGCATTTTAATATAGAATGAGGTAATGATTCCATCTGAGTAAACCAGGATACTTACGTGTGAACACAGCCAGGAAACAGCCAGACAGAATAACCATATATCCATAAATGTAGACATCAGTAGCCTTTCCATATTTATCAAACACCTTGGGTTACTGGACAGCTGGAGGTCGCATCTGTGATTCACGCACCAGCTGAAGCATCTTGAGGAAATCTGAAGTATATTTTCTTCAGAGCATCCCAGGCTTCTTGATGCTGATAAATTTATAGTCTAAAGGGTAAGAGATCACTAGAATTTTTTTGAGATTCTCTAGACATATCAAATTTTTAATTTCACGCTAAACTTAATGAATCAAATTTCAGTGAAGTAGAACTTAAGCATAGTATTTTTCTGAAACTTCTTAAATGATTATGGAAATGCTACTATAAAAGAACTGACTGACTAAGAAGAATCATTGACTTCATTTCTACTTTTCTCATCAGTCTTCAGGCTGTCAATCGTTTTCTTTTAGGAAAAAAATTGTACGTGGCAGGGATTGGCTGGACTATAGCTAAGCCATTAAGAACGTGTATTTCTTTTGCAGAGACTTTTAAAACTTTCTTTCTCCAATGTCTCATCTTTATACTGATCAGTCTTAACTGACAGTTACACTTTTGAAGTACAGAATTTAAAATATGAACTATATAAATGTAGTTCAAGGATTCTGTGCAAGGCTAGTGGCAACAGAAAGGCTAAGCAGTTTTCCATGGGGTCACAGCATGACAAATGGACATCAGAAATAGCCTTGTAATGAAAGAGACAGGATAGTCACAGCAGAGCCTCCAGGAATTGGGCATCAAGCAGGAAAATTAATTAGGGACTAAACCAGGTTTACTTAGTGATTCTGCCATGAATGGCCAAGCCTTGGTGACCAGAGATAGAAGGAATATAGCCTAAATATGGGTCCTTGCAAGGTCAAAATGAAATCATGGGAAGAATGACTGGATACTAGATCAGTTATCTTTTGGCTAGAATATCTTGTATGCCCCAGCCTAGGGACAAGATCAGTTCCAAAACTCAGAATAAGCCTGAACCTCCAGATGGGGACTAAGTGGCCATAGCTGTGAAGATTACAGACTGCAGGGGCAGGGAGCCAAGAACATCATTATACGTTCCAGACAAGAGTGAAAGTTGTTAGTGCTGAAAGAGACTGTGTTTAAAATGTTCAAGGTAAGCAATAAAGAACGGCGCTGACACCAGTACATTGGTTTTCATTTATTTAAATACCTTTGTGTGTTAACATATTGGGGTTTTTTTTGACAATGGAGTAGATTGGCAATAGCTGAAGGACATGAGGATAAAGCAATAAATGAAGCTAAGTAGGCATGGAATGAGAGAGACTATAAAGAAGATAGTTAGCACTCGGGGAGTGATCTGACCATACTGCTCCATAGAATCCTCACGACAACAGGGGAACTTTGGCACTATTAATTTGGGATGAAACTACAGCTGGATCCCTTACAAACATAAAATTTTTCTTGAGTCATGTGGCAATAAAGAACACAACATAATATTTTTCTTTGACATCAAAAAACAGTTACATGCATACAGATTTCGTCTCTCTTGGCTTTATGAAATAATAGCTAAGTATAAATAAATACTAGTGACAAATACCAATACACACAAAAGTATGAAATTTATTCTGACCTTTCTTTCAACCTGGCCTAGGATATGAATATTTTCATTCTGCTATGGGGTTAAGCCTAGTTTCTCAAAACTCTTTCAAAAGGAAGATAAATATTGTGTTAGCATTAAAAAGCCAGTGCACAGTCAGCTGATCACACTCCATAGTTACGGGAGGATTTGAAATAAGGACCAAAACACACTGCAAATAAACAAACAAAATGAAAGAGGTCGGGAAAGAGCTGAATACAGGGACAGGGGACAAAAATAAGAGTTGGAAAATGATGCTGATAGGCTGTGACACTAATCACATGATACTTCACGCTTGTGTTCTGGGGGAACAGATGGATTATAATCTGATGGAAGATGAAGTATCATGTTCTGTGGCTTCTTTTTGAGGTTCTTTTCCTGCCCTATTCTTTTTATGAGAACATCAAGACTGCAAAAATTAGAAAATTATGTTTCTCCATATGAAAGCCAGACCTTTGCTGAAGAAGTGTCTTCAGCTCTGGGTTTTACTTCTGTGTAAAAACGGATCTGACTTTCAAAAGGCAGAATTAAAATTTAAGGAAGAGAAACTGTCCACATTGCAGGGTAGCCTCTGTTGGATCAGAGCTATCCTTTATTAAAGACAGACTTCAGAACAGTAGAAGCACTGGGATGAAGAAAGGAACATTTGTGCTTGTTCATGGGAGGAGTAAAAGGAAAAAACAGGAAGTACTTAGAAGATTATTCTCTTTACAACTACACTGGAAAAAAATCAAAACTTATACATCAAAGAGAATCTCAAATACATCCTGCCAAATATAATTTATACAGAGAAAGAATGGCTTCTAAATAAGAGAAAATTGACTCATTGCAAAGTAATAGAGCCCCAGCTGATAGCAGTGGGAATAAGAACTTATGATTTCAGCAAATATTTTTGATACTTGGTTCATTTTAGACACTGCTTTATATTCCTTTAATTATCGTACCTGATAAATTATCTCAGTGAGTCCAAAGTAGGTCACTAGGAACTCCTTGCACTGGGAACTAGTCCTTAGAAGTAATTAGCCTGGAATTTTCTTTTTGTTGGTCCTGTCAGTCAAAAGTAGTTCAGAGCCCAGGGGTTGATACTTGGTTTAATGTATTTTTTAAAAGCAAGTTGATAGCTGGGCCTGATCATAGGAATGTCTGGGTATGAAGTTGGCTGAGTGCCTAATACTTCCAGGGTGTCAGAATGGATCAAGAACGAGAGCTCAGGTGTAAAAGCAGGTGCAGCCACTGACAAAGAGCATAAGGGAAGAACCTCAGTTATGATACGGGAGAGGTTTATGTGCCTGATTTAAGTTCCTCACACTGTTTTACCTTTGCTTTTGTAATATGCGCTACATGCCACGCAGCTGCCGTTGGCAATATTATGTAGGCTCAAATGTTCTTAATTTCTCAGTGTCCACTCATTTGTCTCTGGAAGCACTGAGAGTGCTTACCAGTCCTGAAACACTATCCCACATGGATATAAAATGCTGGTGACTGATTGCAGGGGTAAGAGACGACAGAAAAGCAGCAGCCTCAGTATTCCTGAGTTCACAAGAATGAGCATCTAGTGCTTTTTGTTTTGCTGTTTCACTGATGTTCTGTAATTGGAGCAGGGTGTACAATTTGGCATTCTTTTCATGAGTGTCTCTCACAAAGACAGTTTAGCCTGAAGTCTTTAGCATCTTGCTCCTTTGATCTGAGGAGACTCCTCGTCACTAGGAAGACCGTGCACTCTTGGCATCACTCCCACCTTTAATGCATTCTGGACCATGGAGACTCATGAATATTTTAAACAGGGCAATGGCCGTGGATGATCCTTGGCACTGGAGTTCGCCATACGTATAAGTAAATTAGACATTAGATCCTGCTGACTTCAGTGCATTTGGGTTGTAAATTTGAGAGGATAAATTAAGACAACTCTGAGTAAACACAGAAAATGGCTACTTTTAAAACTACTACTGGCCAACATTGAATAGACCCACAGCTACAAGCTGAATATTTCTGGGTGAAAATATCAAACAGGGTTGTGCATAAAATAAAGGAAAGCATGCTTATTAATCACAAGTTTATGATAAACTAAGTTTATTCAGTCTTCACCTAAGTGGTTCTTTTTTATTGACTTCCTTTGCTCACTGGCCTCACAATGGTAAATATAGCAATCCCAAATTAGAATTGCCTTCTAACATGAATTTACTCATGAAGATAATGGGCAAAATAAAACACACACACACACGAAAAATAGGTCCAGGTTAGAAAATCTACTATTTCTTGTATTGTTGATTTAGCGTATCTTGCCATACTGACCGTAACTTTAACTCAGAGGGTTCACAGGTAGGTAAGGCTATTGTTAGTCTGAGTAACACCTTCTAGTGCTATGAAAACTAGCCAGAATGAAGAAAACTTTGTGGTCAGTATCACCTTGATTCTTCTAAGTCCTGTGACCAGAAGAGTGTAATAGCTTCAGCAATAGTATTTAACAACCAACTTCTGGTAGCCACCCAAGAGCAATGATAATAGCCTGTATTATTTTGGATATTTTTAGAACACCTCTGACCAAGAAGTTGTGGGGAGGTATCTCACACGTGACACTGGACTTTTTTATTTGGAAGCCCATGGCTTCTGTGGGGTAGGTATTATCCCAATGTGTGAAGCCTTTTGTAGAGTACTTTGTAGAGTACATTTCTGTATGGCTTTTTCAAATATCTTTAGTATCTTAGTATCTTTAACCCTCATCCCCACTTTGAGCCTCCCTCTCATCCCTCTCCCCGCCTAGCCTGCCTCCTCATAGCTCCCCTTCATGTCACCTGCATTCTACCTTCCTTCCTCCAATAAGCTCTTCCTTCCTACTTCCCACCTCATTAACTTCTTCCTACACTCCTGGATTCTATGCACACTACAGATTCAACATACAAAGGTGAAGACTTGATGCTGGTGCAACACAAGAGTGAGGACATGTGATATTTGTCTTTCTAGCCTTAGGTGACCTTATTCACTATGTTTTCCAATTCTGTCCAATTGTCAGCAAATTTCAGTTTACTTTCCACTCAATACTGTGTGCTGTTTCCATGTCCCGGCGGCTACAATGATGAGCATGAATAAGCATGCGTACTAGTTGTGTATACACATAGGAATGGTATAGCTGGGTCATACAGTGGGTCAATTTCTAGTTCTTTTGAGGAGCTGTCACAGTGGTTTCTATAGTGGCTATCTGAGATTTCCATGGTCTAGGTATCACTCCTCTTCATTTGCTTCTCATTCTGAGGGCAAAATGAATGATTGTCATCTCTAAAAATTGCAAATGTTTCTATTTGTATAGAATGGGAAAGACACTATCTTTCTTTTAATATTTCCTGGCCTGGAAAGCTTTTAAGGGAGTGAGAAATGAGTGCATGATTTTAAAACGTACTGTTCTGCTCCCATGACTCCACATGGAAAATGATTATATTTATTAGCAAAGGAAGAGCTGCATGTAAATGTTTTAGTTTTATTATTTCTTTTACGCATTTCTATTTTTACCTGTATCAGAACAATAAGGCCTGCCTCTACGATTCACATAATTAAGTAAATTTTATAAGTACAATTATTACCATATTAGATCAGTATTTCTAGTGGATAGTCAGTATGGTGGTGTCTACAAGTCATTGTTTAATCTCTGAGTCACTAAATGCCCTATGTATGACCCACACATTCCTCTTCATATGGTACAAGTAGTCTAAATTTTTAACTGAAGCTAAAAGATCCAAAGGTCACTTAGAAAGATAACTTAGTAAAGACAGTTAAATGCACAGCAGCTACTTAAAAGCCAAGTGCTGTCCCACTCTCCCAAAGAAAGAAAATTATATTTCATGAAGTTACCTAAAATTCTGAAATTGAACCAATTTCTAATGTCTATCTAGCCTCATTCAAAAGGGATTGAGCATTTTACTTAAGGTTTGGAGTTTCTTGATATTTTCCCAGGTTCCATATCCAATTCTCCTAGATGTCACAGTGTTTAACAAACTTAATTGCAACTGTGGATCTAGAGAGGAGTACTGAAAGCCACAGGAGTGACAAATTGCGAAGCTTCCCGTGCACTTACATGTGTTAGCAGCATTTATTCTGGCTACATAATACCAATCGTACAACTTTTATTATACCTCAAAATCAAGAAACTGTAAATAACAAGACAAAGGAAACAAAGTTCTAAACACAAAGTGTCAGTCCTCCATTAATTTAACCGTTTCCACTCTTCTAACTAGTGTAAAAAGACTCACTGTAGACTGATCCTGATAACATGATATTAATTATAAAATCAGTGAAATAATAATAATAAAGTAATATTGTCTAGCATTTGGTACACATTGAACAAATCCCCACGGTTTATTCCTTTTAAAGTTTGGGGGTTGTTGATTATCTCAGTCTTGGGAATAAAAATAGGCATCTCATTATATTCTTCAGTATAGACAGAAGTTTCCCAAATGTGTCTCCTAGATGCTAAGACACTATCCTAAATATTTAGATTTATGGAGTCTTTTAACTTGCACACCACTCTTAGGAATTTCAATATACCAATAATTCTTACTTCATTTTTTAAGAAAATTATAGCTCACACAAAGAGGAAAATAAACTTGACAAAACTCCCAAACAGGAGGAAAACCTTGATTTGAGCCAGCCAGACTGACTGGAGAGATAATCTTGATGTTCACTGTTGCTCAGAATTTCTCAGTACTGTATTCAGTGATAAAAATGAATATGTATATGACCATATACACAGATATATACGATGAGTACCTCCATTTGTATCATGTACTTAGCATAGTGTTTCATGCTTCGTGATAAAATGCAGTAACAAATTTTATACATCTCTAACAATAATAGCCACCAGTTAACATACCTACATTGAACATGCTACACTTGAAGTTAAAGGTTTTCACACAATATTTTTTCTCATTTTTCCTCAACATTTTAGAATCAGTTTCTATATCAGTTTGATTTTTGGCAAGGGTATTAAATTCACGATGGCTATGTTTGTGTGTGTTTAAATGGGGTTACTAGCTTAGAAGCTTAGAGACATATTTTCACCATAGCCTACCTTTTGAGCGTACTTCTACTCAATTGGTTTGTGTTTCAGTGACAGTCACTGGAGTGCCACACTCAGGAGTATTTCCCAAGGCTCTGCAAAAAGTGGGATGAGGAGAAATTCAGAGACAAAATTAAATTTTGTTTCTCACTACCTGGGAAAAAGATCATGGGCTATCTACACCTTTTAAAGAGGCAAAAGAAGATATATTATTCTATATTATACTATATTAAATTATAAATGTATATTTTTACCATGGGAAAAATATTTATGCTGAGAAATAGGTAAAAAAAAAAAAAGAAGAAGAACATATTTGGTAGAAAATAAATGCAGGCAAATAAATCATGGCTTTGGTCACCACATGTATGTCTCTTAATTTAAGACTTAAAATGTAACATAAATTCTCACACTTTCCTATTTAACATACCTTTTGATAGTAATACTATAGATTTTTAACAAATATAAATGTAAGCACCATAGAAATGGGCCCTTTTTGTCAAGATATATTTTCTTCTCATATATCTATGTGCTATGCAAAAAAATCTAAACACATTTTGTGTATCAACCCAGGCATCACTTTTCAAAATTTTTATTTAGTTATGAAGTTGAGGATTCTTTTTAGAATGTGGCAGTGATTTTTTTTAGAAAAACTGAACACATGATAACCTTTTTTAATTGGAGTTGAATTATTTTCAATAACCCAGTTATGATATTTCTTTCAAAATTTTCAGCTCTCAAGACAAAATTAATTCAAAGGTTTCTTTTTTTTTACCCTGGCGCCATAATATTGTCTATTTAGACAAATTTGTTGTACTGCTTCAAGAGAAGAGACAGTTTGTATGCAAAAACCTTTCTACTGTCTCTGTTCAGAGAGTCTATAAGAAATAGCTTTCTGAGAAGTCAGCATTGTTTCCTGAGAAGTTGTCTGCCCAAAGGTGTATTAAAGTGTGTAAAAACTATCACTAATCTTCAGTGGTTGACTCCAAATAGTGTTGTATATGTCTGCTCATTTAAGCAACAAATCAGTGAGCTATCTTCAGCATGTTATGTCCACTTATTACTGATATTTTCACCATAAGTGGAGTATAATATCACTAACTTACTGAAAAAACTCCAAAATTACATGCAACACTCAACAGAAAATCAATACTGAGGATGGCTCAGTCGGTAAAGTATGCAAACAAAGACCTGAGTTCAGATTCTCACATCCCTGTAAAAGCCTAGCAAGGAGAGACTATTGCTGAGAAAGTTGGTTTTGGAGAGTTTCCAAAGTTCACTTGCCCTCTGCTCTAACTGGTAAGAACTAAGTTCAGTGAGGTACCCCCATATCAGAAAATAAGATGGAGAACAGTTGAGGAGGATACCCAGTATCAACCTATGGTCTCACATGCACACACATGAACACACAAGCTTGTACACACACCGACAAGAAACAAGGATTGTTGAAGGTCTAAACACTTAGTACAAGAAGGAAAGGGAAAGAAGAAGAGTAGAGAGGATAAGACAGAAAGAGAGAAATGGAGGAAGTAAAGAATTTCTTTAACCCCTCAGTGCAAAACAAAATCAATCAGAGGAGCTGATTTATCCGTTTTCACTAAGCTATGACTGAGGAAGAAATGAGAACAATGCCCTTGGGACAAATGATCATCTGTGGATTATTTACCATGCTCTTTTTATTCACTACAGTTCTTTCAATGCCTTTAACAGTTCATACTATTCTCTATGCTCATTTCTTCGACCAAAGTTGTTTTGAAGAAATATTAGGTCCAAAGTAGCCATAAAGGCTTACTCATTGTCAATAAATACTGAAGTAAGTACATCTGAAATGAGTATACAACAATAGATAGTTAAAGTGAAAAACCTAGATTTACACTAAAAAATATTGACACATTTCTATTAAAACTATAGACATTTGCATAAATATATAATTTTAGGACAGTCAAATACAACATTCAAGTATCTCTTAGAATATAAAAATAAGAATAGTATGTTTATAACACTATGCCATTGAGTTCTGACTGAATATGATTTACTCTCACCAGAAAGCAGGCTGATTGGGATAAAAGAACATACAAGAGAAGCATTTGTCTTGCATCAATCTGGATGCTCAAATTTGGAGATTAAAGAAAATGAAAAAATGAAGGAAGAGGAAAAGTCCTGAATTAATTAATATGTCAACATAATAGTCATAATTCTTTAGAGAAATACAATTGTTAAATAGATTTATAGATCAACAGATGAAACAGTTGACTAATGAATTGCCATACAGGTAAATAGGTAGATAAGCAAGTAGATAAATTGGTTAATTATAAAAAATATAAAAATAAAATGATTCCAAGACCAAGCAGTTGAAAAATCTGAAACCATGGAGACAGTATGGTATTATTCTGTTTTAAAAACAAAATGAAAAAATGATCATGAGCGCTACATCCTGATTTCTCTGAGTTTCATTCAGTTATAATTGGTGCTTATGACCATTTCCTTCCACTGGGGTTTCTTTATCTTCAGGAAGTACCTCACTAGTTAATCATTCTTTGCCCAGTAAGGTAACCAAACCTTTCCTAGTGGATATTAATTATGTGCTCTTTTGCCTAGACTGCGTTGTGCTATTTCATTGACTTTAGTTGTAGAGTATGGTAGTTACCAAGAGATCACCGAAGGCTCTACTGTTACTCCAGTTTATAGTAGCAAACCACTTGACCTTTGAGTGCCAGGCAGTTCTTGTCATCAGCATAGTAACTCACTTCTTTACCTATTGACTCAGAGGCATGAGACCAATGAGACCAGGCAATGGTCATAACTTCCTATTCCATTGGTCAGCATTGTGCCTTTTCGTACATTCTTTCTTTTATAAGTGAGACCTCTGGGTCATCAGAGCACAAGGTTTGAAGAAATATAAAAGCTGGTGAGTCACTAAAAGCAATACTGTCACTTTCATCCTCATCCCAATTGCTTGGTTTCTCGGACAGTGATAGTGAATATAGGAGCCATCCATAGATATTGACTCAATGCAAAGAAATAGCCAATAGCTACCATTTTCACTGAGACTTCAAAAATCTCTTCTATTCTTCTTTCAATCAACCTGCTCCAAGCCTCTACCAAAGATTGAAAACCCACTGAATCCCATATGCAATGGACCAAATGTCATTATATATATAAAATTTTAGTTAGAAGCAATATGGTATAGAATAGTGTTATATTTTGCTTTTCTGGTGTTGTGCTAAAACTGAACAAATGCAACTTGGGGAGAACAGGCATTATTTGGCTCACATTCGCAGGTCAAAATTCATCCTTCAAAGAAGACAAGACAGGAACACAAGCAGAAATTGAAGCAGAAAGCACAAAAGAATGTCTCTTAAGGACTCCTCTCTGGCTTGCTTTTGGACTTATGATCAGCTTGTTTTCATACACAGCTCAAGCCCACCTGCCTCAGGATGAGTCCATGGATACTTTGGGGAGAAACTATATCCAGGGATACAAACTCAGTATTTGGAACATTCGTTCCAATATAGACAAAATGCTTTTCAGTCCCATGAGAAAGCAAGTCAATTTAACCAAACTACCATCAGGTATCAGAAAATGATGACATAGTGTTGGGGGTTTAGTATTTATCTCTGCTACTAAGAGATTAAATTCTTAACAGTGGCTATAGGAGTGATTCTCAAACTTCTTAATATTGTGATACTTTAATACAGGTTTTCATCTTGTGGTGCTCCCCACCCATAAAATTATTTTGTTTACTACTTTATAATTTTAATTTCACTACTGTTATTAATCATAATGTAAACATCTTTGGTTTTCAAGGATGTTATGCAATTCCTGTAAAAGGGGTCATTCAACACTCCCAAAGGGATTACAACAAATAGGTTGAGAATCACTGGACTATGACCTGACTTTTCTTTGTGAGTGTAAGTTCTTGTTTCTGAGACCAGCTACAATCTCCTTCATGGATTCATTATCCGTCATCTAGGCAATGAGAAAATAACTGCAAAAACTGGTGGCTTACTCACAAAATATAATTCCCTGATGACTCAATTATTAGCATAGTAAAAAGGCCATTCTACCAAAAGCAGTCTACAGATTCAATGTAATCCCCATTAAAATTCCAACGCAATTCTTCAAAAACAATGAAAGAGAAATTCTCAATTTCATATGGAAAAACAAAAAATTCCAGGATAGCAAAAAACAATTCTTAACAATGAAAGAACTTCTGGGGAATCACCATCCCTGACCTCAAGCAGTACTACAGAGTAATAATGTTAAAAATTGCATGGTACAGAGACAGACAGGTTGATCAATGGAATAGAATTGAAGACCCAGAAATAAAACCACACTTATTGCCACATGATCTTTGACAAAGAAGCCAAAAATATACAATGGAAAAAAAGAAAGCATCTTCAATAAATGATGCTTGTCTAACTGGAAGTCCATATGTAGAAAAACGAGAATTTTTAAGAATTTTGTCATGTTTATTTCACATTCATCATCATCCAGTGTCTTGCAGTAAGTACAGAATTGCCACTACTTCTTGCTTAGTAGGCCCAGGCAGCACCAAGGACTGTTCTCATTTTCTCAGGCAAGGAACAATACCCAGCACAGCAACTGCAATTAGAGACTCCACTAGGTTAAGACTGTGATAATCACTGTCATTCTAACAAGCCCCATCTATCTTCCATAATAGTCCAGAAAATCAAATTGATTGGTGATTTGGTAGGTCTTCTGTGTGGGTGCAATCTCTACATTCCCTCCTGAATGCATTGTTGGTTTTGTTTAATATTTTTTCATATACAGTTAATTCCAGTAGCTTGTGTTGACCTTTTCTCTAATATTAGTCCTGACTCTTCCAGTCAAGGAATATATTCAGAGTTTCTTCCAAATACTATGCATATTTTCTTCAAGTATTCTTTGCAGACCTGTGTAACCACAGTATATGTCCAGAGACCCACGAGACCCACTGTGAAATGGACCTGTGCCAAAAGATCTAGTGAAGGTCTCAGCTCAATAAGAGTTTATTTGGCAGGTAAACTAAAATGATATCTTCAACCAGCAAGAACTAGTTTATCAGGAATTAGGATACAGTAATCTTTGAAAGGTTTGATTTTCAGTGTATTTTCTATTTAATATCTGCTGATCTCTTTGAGAAAGACTGAAGAATGACACGTTTAA